GAATAAAAATTAAAAAAACAAGTGAGTCTCCATGCGCACAAATAGTCCCACGGTGTGTGCCATCATTCATTTGGTGCACATACATAATCAAACATAAAAATTCATAAGCGTGCTGCCCTTTCACTCCTCCTCATTGGCATGCAAACTTCACAGAGAGGACAAAGCCAAGTGAGAGGATGCCATGACATTGGGGACGAGCTGATTGGCTGCCTCGGTAAGCAGTCTGTAAACACCAGAGTTGGTGCTCAACGTGTGTGCTCCCTCTGTCACGTCTCAAATGATCTTCACGAGCAGAACGTCCCCGTAAACACAAACAGACGCACAGCGTTGTGAGCCTTTCTCGTTGTTGACCAGGCTCCTGTAAAAAGTGCTGTTTGACGTCTGTGAGTGATGTTAATTATGGTTTTTAAGGCCTCTCTTGGTTCTTAAGTCTCAAAAGACGATAATCTAACAAACACAAGCTGTGATCTCACATCAGTCAGCCCTAACTGAGAGACAGCCTGTGTCACTGATGAAAACCAGTTAAAGATCAGGATCCACGTTCTGCGACGACCGACATCTCAGGCTTCCCCATAAACCCGAGAATTGGTAACAGAATAGTTTCTACATTGTGCTCCACCAAGATCCTTCCTATTTCTTATATTTTGTTGTTGGTCCCTCTTTGTGCCTCCCTCCCTGCCCCCACCACAGGAGCTGGGGCCAGGGCATTGGCTTTGACCTCTGACCTTCCTGTAATCAGTCATATCCCTGGGCCCATCCCTCCTCTCAAGCAGCAGACAGCTCACGGCCCCTCCCCTCCTCCTTCTGCACCTCTTCCTCCTGTTCTCTCTTTGTCCCCATATTTTCCTCCCTTTCACTCTCGCTGAATCCAGAATGGCCCTGCTGGCTTTTGATGGGTTGCTGCTCAGAAACAATAGAGAGTAAACATGGACTTAGCAGCTGAACAACAGACCCAAAACCCCACTGTTGGCCATCCTCCGGGCCAGCAGCCTCATCCGTCAATCTGTGCAATGACCTCGAACTGATGGGTAAATGATGGTGTCAACTTGTCAGGACAGGACAGCTTGGTTTGGGGGCTGAAAACAAGCAAACAGCCATAATTCAAGCCTCACGCCTCCCGTGTCTGAGAATTTCCTTTGTCCCTCACACATTGTATGCAACCGCGGTTTGATTAATGCAGATCTATTCCAAACTAAGTGGATGAAAAATTCTTTAGAAACGTAATGAAGCAACGCTTTGTCTAGAAACTAATGTGGGAATTGTCCATTTCAAGTTTTTTCTTTTTTAAACAAGTCTCAGAGTTTTCCAAGATGTTCTTTCCTGTCATGAGTTGGTGTAGGAGGATGTTTTAGGACCCCAGATGCAGATACCAGATGAACGAAGCAGAGGTGGAGGATAAAATAAAAATCCTTTATTAAGGTAGTAATCCAAAGGCAGGGAGCCAAAAACCAAAAATAAAAAATCCAAAAATCTAAACTAAGTCATCAAAAACACTAGAGAACTTGAAACACTGGAAACACTGGAAGCTAGGAACAGGGACGAGACGAGACGAGACGAGACGAGACGAGACTGACAAGAACACCAAAACACCGCTGACAAACAACAATGGACCGACAAGACACAGAGACAAGACAGGGCTTAAATCCACTGGGGCATAATGGGAGGCAGATGAGCTGCAGGTGTGTGGACTGTGGGAGAGGACCAGGTGAAAGCATTGACTAATCAGGGAAGAAACTAACATGACCAAAGAGTGAACCTAAAAACAGAAAAGCAACCATATAACTAAAATCCTAAAGGGAAGAAGTACTACTAAAACCGGCGGGACAAAAACATATTAAAGAGACTAAAAAATGAAAAGCTGAAACTATAAACACTGCAGAGGGATGACTGGAGAAGACTAAAAGAACACAGGAGACACATAAATGAGATGCAGACAAAGGACACATGAGGGCGCTATGAAACACTAAAGGAGAACCTGGAGTGGGAACTGGAGGGGCTGGGGAACAAAGCGGCACAGAACATGACACTTTCCAGGCAAAGTGCTGCATGAATAGATGATGAAACCTAGCCCCCTATCGATGCTGTCCTTGGTCCTGGAGAATACAGTCGGATTTCCCTGCTAATTTCTGATGATTTTGTGATTGGGTGGTTTCTTTGGCTTGAGATGCCCACACTGTGGTAGCTCCGTCCATTATGTTCCACTCAGGACCTGACACGCTGCTACGACAATAACAAACCATGTCCTTGCCACAAACGGTTTGTGCACGCCCCCAAAACTGTTGACCTAGCATTCATAGTGGTATAACATGTTCTTAACATGCACCTGAAGACCTCACAAAATGTTTATCTTGATTTAAATTAAAAAACAATCTGTGAAAACAGCCAGTTTTGCTGTTATATTTGTCCTGAGAGAACATTAGGTCTTAATGATCTTCTTGTACTTCACTGTTTTTGTCCTCTTTGTGTATTTTGGAGCTCTTTAATGTCATCCTCCATCCATAATCTTATAAAAGACATTTTGACACCACCTGTGGAGTTTCATAAGCTCGGTTTCAGCAGGATGAAACCATTCAGCTGTTACTTGTCTCTGCGTGTGCACCTGTGACTGTGCCCAGTAGCTTTGGAGTGCTACTGTACTTTGTCAAACAAGTAAAATGTTGTGAAATCCCCCTTCCTCCTCTTCACATACTCAGGAGGCCCATCCAGCCTTGGTGGCACCGCCGAGTGCTTCCTCGGGGGCCTCTTTCCTGCATCTGCGGCGTCTGGTCACGCTGCCTGCCTGCAAACACTCCATCCATCTCAGATATGAAAGGCTGCCACAGATGTGATGGTTGATTGGCGAGCCGAGGGCAGGTACAGCTGCCACCTCAGGGGTCAGGGGTGAGATTGGCTCGGAGAAGGTGAAAAACATACGGCCACGCTGACCTGATAATTATCCTGATTGAGTCCACCTGGCAGAAGGAATAGAGCAATGACTCTTCTACCTCTCTGGCTACTCGTACTGAAGATTGGAGACACCCATAACCGCATCCCAACACGTAGATTATAGAAATTAAAGGAGAGTGATTTAATTCTTCATCCTGCCTGCTGACCTGGAAACCAAACAGCGCTCATAAAGCTGAGATCAGTGCTGTTGAGCCCTCCGCCCTGTGTTCCCACGCCCAAGAGGCGTTGAGATTAAATCCTTCAGGCTGACAAGGCATTCTCTCAATAAATTGCTCACTTTCCCTCAGTGGACTTTGGTGGCATTTTGATACATTTTGATTTAACACACTGATGATGTGTCATGTCCATCAAACAGGGATGGTATTGTGTTTGACTGCAGGGTTTGAAGTAAGGGGGAGCTACGGGGAGCCTGGCTCACCTGATAGGGGGACGGCTCCCCTTGGAAGCTCTCAACTGGCACACCCAGAGTAAGTCCCAAAAATGGACCAGTCCCCTGTCCGTTATTACGTAATGAAGGTGATCAAACAGAACAACGGAGGTTTTATGGAGGCATTCGGACAACCTTCCACCCCCCCTGCGCTCTTGTGTCATCCACTCGGGCTCCCCCGGAAGCCTGTGTGGAACTCGACCCCAGTTTGGCGTCTCTCATAAACAGCAGGTCGCAGATTAGGGACGTACCCTCCTTGTGTACGACTCACGTCCTGCTACGTTTTAGTTTTCCTACTTAAAGCACGGCACGAGCAGAAGATGTTTTATTATCCACGAAACGCTTCAGATACGAGGTCTTGACATTATGTTGAGCTTCACAAATAAACCGTTTAACTCAGTCCTTTAAAGAAATGAAGATATTTTCAAAACCACACACATTTTTTGAGTGGTAAATCTTGTAAAGGATTATGTATTCCTGTGTCAAAACCCAACATGGCCTACATTCACACAAACACATGAAAATGAAACCGTATACTTTTCTCTATAAGAGGCACTGCCATGTGGGAGGGAAGCGAAGCACAGATATAGGGATGAGGAATGAGAGCAGTGTGTGTGTGTGTGTGGTGTAGTATCGTGTGTATGACTCTGTATATAAGTACAAATGTGCACATGGACAGATGAAAGGTTTCACTGATGCGGGCAAATTACATTTTTTGAAGCCCTGAAATAGATTTATTGACTCCTGGAGGAGACAAATCTGTTTGAACGTATGTGTTTTGCAGGAGAGACGAACGCCTATACGTTCTGCTGCTGCCTGTCTGAATGTGAATTTTTAACAGATTTCTTTGCTCTTATTGAGTCAAGTGCTGCATTTGGCTCATCTGACACACACACAGTCACATTTAGATTTGTTTGTGCTTAAAAATCAACTTTTTTCTCAGTTATGAAATAAAGAAATTTGCTCGACCAGCGTCTGAACAGAGCTGCCACTTTTATCATCTCAATCATACGATTTTTATTGACATTGGTACCAATTTTACTGGTAAAAGCACACAACTCCTGAGAAGATTCCAGCTTTTTAGGATAACAGAAACATGTTTAATATTTTATTCTTATTAAAGGGCCTCTGGATTTTTTTCTGAGTGCGACCCGGATGACATAAACTGCCATAACTCTTGATCACACACATTCCAGCTGTGAGTGATTCCACAAGGTTAGATGGCATTCCTGCCACCGGCGGCATTACATCAACATGATAGATTTAAATGGTTCACACCTCACTGCTCCTGATTCTGACTCACTTGAAAATGTGTCCTCGTGTTCCACAACATCATGATTTATATAACCTTCAGAAATCATGGCGCCTATAAGGTGACGGGCGCTCTTGTAGCTCCCTCCCTCCGTGCTCCCCTACTGCTAATGTCTACTAAACGCTTCGTTATCACACATTTAGATAGTTCTTGCAACGTAACGCTGAGAATCTCACAGAACTCCCCTTTCATCGGCTTTCATAGCTGCAGTCATTGTGCAGCTAGTAACAGAGGAGGTGTAATGTTGATGTGACAAATTTGCACAGAGACATCGGTTTTATGTTCCAGATATTAAACTCTCCTCTTTTCTCTCAGCACTCTGACGATACACAGCATCAGTCAGGAGGACGAGGCCATCTACCAGTGTATCGCCGAGAACAGCGCTGGCTCCACACAGGCCAGCGCCCGCCTCACGGTGCTCTGGGCCGATGGACTTCCTGGTGTGCCCACCAACGTGCAAGCTGAGGCCCTTTCGCCGAACACCATCCAGGTGTCCTGGAGAGAGCCTGAGCAGAACACTCAGGACATCATTGGATATGTTCTCCACATTCGCAGAACGTCAGGTGAGGCTGAGCCAAAAATCCACAAAATCCAGATTACATAAGAATAAATGGCAGCAATGTGTAGTGTCTTCCTTAAAGGGGACATATGCAAAACAAACATTTTGCATCCTTTGCGCTGCCATGTTGGTCTCTTTTCTCTCTATAAACAGATGTTTGGTTTTAGAAAAATTATGCCTAAAATGAGCTGTTTCAAAAAGTCCCCTTTTGTGACATCACAAATGGGGAAACTGGCATAGACCCACCTCTAACCTAGGGGAAAGCACCATCTGTCGGAGGAGCAGCAGCTCTAATCTGAGCCTCTCCCAGATATAAGAGCTTCTCAGCTAATAACAGCCTGAGTGAGGGATGGGTGGGCGTGGCCAGCTTCATCTTGTTTGTCTTAAAGGGATATTCAACCCCTAAATATAATGTTGTCCATTACCGTATTCCCTAGATTTAAATAAGTGAGAAAAAAGCATTTTGTAACCAGCGCAGTAATCCTCCTGGTCGGGCAGCAGTCTGTCTGCTTTAGCTTAGCATAAACAATGGAAGGGAATAGCAGGAACTAGCATTTCGTGTGAAAAGGTGATTAAAATTACTCAATAATGATATCAATTATTCCAGCTCAATAGTCATGTCGACTGCAAATGAAAGTAAGAAGTAACACGAAGGATTTCCAGGAGCCGATTTAGACTTGGGACTACATTACGACAAAATATCACTGTTAGCGACTTCCATTGTTTATGCTAAGCTAAAGCAGTCTGATGGCTGCCAGACCAGGAAAATTACTTTACTTGTTACAGAATGCTTTTTTCTCACTTATCTAACCCTGGGGAATGCGGAAATAGACAAAATCTCACTTAGGGGTGGAATATCCATTTAAAGTGACAGATTCTCTGAAACGACTCATTTTGGAAGGTACTGAAACTGTCACGAATAAAACTGCTGAAATTGATTTATGTGAGAGGGATTTAGTGTAAAGAACTTCATAGACGTGCTTTTTATATAAACCATAGAACTATTAACTTTAAAAAGTTGTAATATGTGTCCTTTAATTTGTGCACAACTGTATTCATCTTTCCTCTCCAGCAGTTTGGGAACACAACTGGAGAACAGTTTATTGAACAGGCTGTAATCTAGTGTTTGCTTGGGTTTAAATCCTGTTCATCTAGTTAAACTCTGGTGTTATGTTTTTGGACTGGCCACATCTTTAGTAGGGATGGGAAGTGAATGGCATTTAAGAGTTGGTCCTTTTAGCTCCTTAACATTTAGTTCCATTGATGCGTTGTTCTTGACCATTCCGGCTCTGAGGGCCGTTGTCATGTTTCTCCTCAAGGATTATGGCATTAGGAAAGAGGGGTGTCTGCTAATGCAGCTGGGAGTCTCCCAACAGATTGTACCACTGAACTTCCCTTTAACAACTTAATGCTGTAATCCTTGTATTTCTCCCATCTGACTGGTTGCATGATGAAGAGGACAGGAGTTAGCTCTCATCTCTCCTTTGAGTTAGTCAGAACACAGAACCAGCTTGTTCACAAGTGACACATATCACCAGGTCGCAGAATCTTTAGATTAATTTTTTTCTTTGTTTCTTCTATAGAAAAATTGAAAAGGACATCTTGCTTAAGTCTAGTCGGATTCGGGTAATTGAATGCATCAAACTGTAGAACTTGACATAAAAATGTAGGAGGAAGGAGAGCGTGAGTTGTACCAAGAAACAGAGCAGAGAAATGACGGTTGCAAGCAAATAAGAAATTCAGTGTTTCAAGCGTCGCTTCAAACCTTTGCAAACGGATCCAGAAGTGTGTGGGGTTTAAGGCAAACCAAATATTTTATGCTTTCTCTAATTTACTTTATTAATGCGTCCCGTCGACCTCAGAATTATCATTGTTTGTCTAATCTTCCCGTGAATGTGACACTAGCTGGTCTGCGCGTTTCTCTTTAACATTTCATTTACTTATTTATTTTGGCAGAAATAACATAGTACAGAATTACAGGAGGAAACAGGAATTTTGTGTGAAAATTCACTTTATTTCCAGGTGATGCAACAGGAACCATTCACTTCCAACTCATACCACTGCCATGTATTTGAATGCTTCCACACTTTGATGCTTGTTTATGCAGAATATGTCATTAGTTTGTTGGGTAAGTGTGTGAGAGACTTATGGTGCCAGCTGATGTTTTCCTCGGTACCACTACAGGATGGATAATTAAGGCCCCGGGGGTCCAACCAACAGGAGCCGCTGTAATTACCTCTCGATGGTGTGGCCCAATGGATTGAGGGCTGGAGGTAGATAGCAGTTATGGCTGGGTGTCTCTGAATTAAAAGCAATAAAATGTGTTAACATGTCCAGTATAACTCCTCATTTACTCCATCCATCAACTCACTCCACCCTGTAATTTTAGCCCGCCATTGTTCGCCAGGCTCCTGGGGCCAGACCAGATTAGCTATAAACTAAGTGAACAGCTTTGATAAAACCGGTAAAATGGGTAATAACCACAAATAAATGGCAGAAATAGACAGTATTGATCACTTTTCTCTGTTCTCATCACATTCCATCATTTCACTAACTGTCCCTCTCTTTCCTGGTTTTTGCTCTTCCCGTCTCTGCCTCTTCTCCCTCCGCCGCCTGTGTTTCAGACCCATTGGAGATGGAGTATGAGGAGGCGGTCAGTAAGGTCACGCTGCAGCAGGTCATCCGCGACCTGGAGCCCTCCACCAGCTACACCTTCTACGTCAAAGCCTACACTTCCCACGGAGCTAGCAAACCATCCGACAGCGTCAGCGAGAGCACTCGTGGAGAGGGTGAGAAGGAAAATCACACGTAAAATCATTTCTTTAGAGCACGTGTGGTAATCTGTTGTCCCAGTTTATTTCTCTGAAAGTATTTTTGTTTAATCAGTTTGAAGTGGATCAGAAATATTAAACAGTAAAATTGATGTTTAGCTGCTGCTTTTATCTACTTAATGTCGCATCGCTTAAAGTGTCATTCCGTGTTGTGTTGCAGTGCCAGCTCCTCCCTCCCTCTTCACAAAGGTGCTGAACAGCAGTGTTGTACAAGTGATGTGGGAGTCTTCCCCCAAGATGGGCCAACATCAAGGCTTCAGGCTTTACTACAGGAGCGCGCAGGCGCCTGCGTTCGCTGGTCCTACCACCTTCCCCCGTAACGTCACCCAGTGGAACATCACTCAGCTCGGTGAGCTGCTTCAAAGTGTCACGGTTTCCAAATTTGCTTTGCTTTTTGGATTTTTAATATCTATAAACTGAGATTTTGCAATTAAAATAGATTATTTTGGCCTCATGCTGCACTTGTGTGTCTAACAAGGACCATTGATTCAGAAAAGCACACAAGTGTCTGTCTTTAACTGATTCACCTTTTATTTAGGCTGAAGACTGAGAACATGCTAACTGTGCTGCTTTTCTAACGTTTTAAAGTGACAGTGTGTAGTTTCCCTGATGATGGGGCAGTACTCACCTAAATCACTGCAAGCAAGCATATTTTAGTGTTCAAGTGAGACCTTACTAACAGATAAGGGTCAAAAATCCCTGGCAGTGCAACCTCCAGCAAAATATCAAGAACTTCAGATTCCCTTCCACCGCTGGCAATGAGTGAAGAGGTAAATGTGTAAAGCAGCAATTTTTATTAATGGTGAAAGTTTTGTAACCATTTGTTACAAATCAGTAAATGCATTCTGTCCTCACAGACTTCCGTAGAAGGAAACATGGCATCCAGTATGGCGTCGCCCAGAGACTTAGACCCGCTCCATGTATTTTCGCACAATATTTTATAGTTAAATGTTATGAAATCACCAATATTTTTCAACAACTGGGCATCTTTTAAGTCATTTACTACAACATTTCGATGGACAATTCCCGAGATTAATGGTAAAAACTACACGTTGTCACTTTAAGGACAAAAGCTGGTGTGATGAATGTAAAAGATTTGGAAAATGTATTACCTATGAAGATTTTTGACCATAAAGATGCAAAACACAAACGTACAACTAAAAGGTAGAACTACAACAGTTGGTATTTTTAAATTATGAAAAGTCTTCTGTTTACACGCAAAAGCTACTCTTCCTGTTAGAAAATGCTACGTGTTTCTGAGCGTCTTAGCTTCCAGGGTTCTTGTTTTGGTGAGAGGGTCTTACCTGTCGGATTAGAGGCAGCTGTGTTTTGAGGCCACAGGATCAGGATTGAAAACTGTTGCATCCGACATTTTAAAAAGAAAGTCCAAAAGACCTGCCGTGGTCTGTGCTACAACCCCCCCCCCCCCACACACACACACACACGCACACACACACACACACCACCACCACCCATCTATGGCTTACAAGGCATGTATTCCCACTAGAGACCTGCAAATGAATTGGTTAAATGAATGAACCCCACCTTCAGACCTTCTGATCACCCTCACTGTTGCAAAGGTCACAGCGTTAACTTTTTGCGTCATCCTTACAGCAAACACATTTTACTCTGGGAAAACAAACAAAGCACAAATAGAAACCATTTCTGTTATTTGGGTCAGAGATGAAACGTGTCAAGAGTTCCTCCATGAAGGTGGCTTCCGCCTCAGCGAAAAGTAATAAACAGACACGCGTTTCAGTCAGGAGAAAGAGCCGCACTCCTAAACGACAGAGCGGTCCAACGTGCGCTGGCTGTGACAGCTGCCAAACTGTATTTTTTCTCTCTCACGGCTAAATGTAGCAACAAATGCATGTCAGAGAAAATTAGGTCGAACTGATTCCCCTCTCTTGATAAAATGTATTCTCTTTCTGTTTTTGCGCTTGTCTCCAGACTCTTCACTCGTCTATGAAATAAAACTCCTCGCGTACAATCAACACGGAGATGGAAACGCAACCACGAGATTTGTTTCGCTTCGGGAGACTCTGGAGAAATCAGGTGAGGGTTTGAAAGCCTTCACACCAGCTGTTGTTGATTTGAACCTTGCTGACGGACGCGTGCATCGTTTCCTCAGTGCTGGACGGCTCGTGTGACTGCTTACAAGATGAACAGAGCAAAACATCCACCACGGGCATCATAATTGGAATCCACATTGGAGTGACCTGCATCATCTTCTGCGTGCTCTTCCTCGTCTTCAGCTACCGGGACAGGTCAGAACAAAAGGCCTCAGCAGCATCTGAAACAGCGTGGCTGTAATTTGTGCTGCTCGGGTTCAAGCTTCGTGCGTTTACATCTGTGTTTTATGTGTAATCCTCAGGTTAATGATGTGTAAGACGGTTCAGGCCACCCCCCAGGCAGCACACAGCGCAGCGCTGGAATCCTCTTCCTCCTCTCAGGGGGCCTCCGGGCTCAACGGGGCCGCCAGGAGAGAGATGGAGGTCAACGGCAGCGCCGCGGGGAAGAAAGTGGTCGACAGCAACGAGCTCCAGAGACTATTCAGGCAACATAACCCACAAGACACGTGCACGGTGAGCGCTGACCATCTGAGCTGTGGTTTATTCATAAAGATGTTTTTCACAAACAACGTGGTAAAGTAATACCTCTTGAATCACTGTGTTTCTATGAAACGGCACCGGTTCTGTTGACCTCTGTCGGTGCACCCCTGGGAAGCTGTGGCTACTTCGTAGCTCGTCACCACTAGGGTGTGAGTGTGTGTGAATGGGTGAATGATACGCTGTGGTGTTTGGAGTCCTCTGACTCTGAAAGGCGCTATGCAGGTGCGGGTCATTTAGCATTTGATGGAGCGTAAACCATGACCCAGCTGGTCTTCCCTGAACCTAGTTTAGGTTTTAGCGACCGTTTGTGACAGTACTTCAAACAAAACCTGATGACATCCATTTTTGTGTTGGACATAGTTGATTAGGTCCAATTCGCATGGCAGGAATTTCAAAACACACACGTGGCGATGAACAAAATCATGGATGTGCCAGGTATGGCCCTACAGCGTGTGCCAACACGGCTAACGCAGCACACTTCCAGGCCGGACTGGGACAATAATTCAGCCTTGGAAAATCTCCGTTTGTCCAGCCGTAAATGATGGGGTTGGGAGGTGACGCTGTTGGAAGAATTATCTGCATTAACGTCCACGAGCGGGTTAGAGACGGATCGTTGCTGCGGTCTGCTCGACCCTGTCGGGGATGTCCAAGCGGGGGTAGGAGGATGGGTGGGGGGGGGCACCAACACCAGCTCGGACCACACCGGCCGTTCTGGGATAGTCCAGAACTCAGATTCCCAGTCCTCCCATGCACACTGCACGTGAACCAATCCCACCCAGGAACATCACACGGTCAGACAGGTAATCTCGCGATGTAAAACGTGACTTCACTTTGTGACTGGGAACACGTCACGTTCAACAGGCAGACACTCCATCACGTTTGAAAGTCCTGATTTCAGATCAGAGCAGTCCCGATTCTGAGCAGAGCATTCTTAACACACCACACACGATAGGATTATCCTTACACGTTACGGCGTGTGAGATCTACCTCAACATCTGTGATTTTGTGTTTTTTATTATTTGTGTTGAACATGTTTGACTCCCAATGCTGAATCAGCTCAGGCTACTTTGTAAATCGGGTCTGACGAAATATTGTTTGCGTCTGTTTTCAGCCTGACTCGTACGTACTAAACGACAGCCAGCTGTCTACGATACCACTGGACGAGTTTGCAGAGGAGAGGGAGACGCCTTTCCAGGAGCACCCTTCAGCCAGAGCGGCTCAGCAGGACCAAGGCTGATCATGTATGAAGGCCCCTTCAAGTGGCACCTTCCTGTGTCCACTCAGACTTTTTCTCACTCAGGTTGACAAGTGTTTCTTTTTTAAAATAGTCTTTCCTGTCATGCAAAGATTTTTTTTATAAGAAAGTTAAGAGGTTCTAGAAGATCTGGGAAGGTGTAGAGGAGTGTTGGATTCTATCTTTTTGCTTCTTTTCTTTTCTGCTTTTGGCTGGGAGTCTTCTAGCTAGGTGGACCACTTTAAATGTGTTTTGCGTATTTTCTGGTGTTTGGCAGCACAGAGATGAGAGACCGTTGAATGTTCCTGTTGTAAACTTACATCTTTTAGGGTTAAATGTTGACCCCATCTCACTTCGCAATGTGAAATTGTCACAAAACTCCACAGAAAAGGAAGTTTCAATCATTTTGTTGCCGTTTTATGAACTATTGAACACGTGTCTAAAGTCTGACTTTATATCGACATGTTAACATTGTTGAAATGTGTGCTAAACTTTCAAGCATCTTGGAAAACTCCGTTAAGGAGGCGTTGTACTACGAAACCAACGAAAATATAATATTAATTAATTAATAAGACATACACAACATGTAGTTGATAAAAAAAAGATTTAATTAAATGCAACATCTACAAAAATGGTCCAAACGGGACGAAGGAGTGAATTTTTGTGACTTTTTCACATTGAGATGTACTTTATTTTTGAGACTATATTTGTGCATATACAGTATATAAGTTATTGGTTCTAAAGTATTGCTCTTATTCTTGGTTTTCTGTAAGTGTTGAAGACTCTTGCTGCCTGCTCCACCAATGATCCCACCTTCTGACTCACAGGAAACCTCAAACTTCTTCCAGGGATTCAAAATATTCTGTCTCAGGACTTTGTTTCAGTGATATCAACATTTTTTATGAGTTCTCGGCCTTCGTACAGGTACTAGACTTGGTTGTGTGAACCTTGCAACTGAACAAAAAAAAACTACCTCAACCGGAATGAATGTGTAATGGGAGGTTTGAAGGACTTTAACTCCCCGTGTGATCACAACTACTCAAATAAGGAGGAACCTCCTGCGTGGTCAAGGTGCCACTCTACCTCAGATGTCAGCAATCGTCTCTCCTCTCCTGCTTACTGACGTGAAATGGACAAAAAGAGCATCCAACATGAAGCACTTCCAAATGCTGAACTTAATGTTCTACCTCAAGATGACAAAATTAATGTTGTCACTCTTGTTGTTGTTGTTGTTGTTGTTAGCCTTCTTATTGCATAATGAAAACCCTTTTTTCCCCTCTCTGTGAAGTCCTGGACATCATGTTTGTAGCGTGTCAGTACCTCATGCTAGCTGATCGACTGAAGACTTTATTTACGGCGTGCTGAGAAGTTGCATGGATGAAACCGGAGACTTTTATTTTGAAGTCACCTCATCGTTTCACTGGTAGTTTGATGAAAGGATGATCAGAGATACACTGCAGCAGTGATACCTTTTATTTACTGTTTTAAAGATCATATTTATTGTAAATTGGAGGTAAAAGTCAACGATTTACAGCTTTCACTGCGGTTTACATGTGTGTATGCTTGTTTTTCTCATTGCTGAACACACACAGGGTGTTTAAAACATCCGTTATGTGTAAACACGGTGCATGCTAAGGTCATGTGGCTGAAGTTTAATAACGGCTCTAAAATTATTGCTTAAATCTCTTCTTCGATATGCTGAACAGTTTTAGATACTTCCCGTAAGTTAGATGAGAGGATCAGTATTTTCTCACATACATGTTTTTAATATTAAAGTTGCATACGTTGTTTGTGATTAGCTTAGCATATAGCTATCCCTTAACATTAAACAAACATGGTTTATAAATTGATTATTGAGCAAAGATTAGCCACAGCGTAATCTCTGGTTGGTGTTTAGGAAGACATTTTAATTTCTTTCTGTTGAAAATGACATTTTTAGTGTAATCAAAGCCTGGCTGATGGCAACTAACTAAACTCACCACCACTTCTGTAGCAGAATAAACTAGATCATCTTGTTTTATCTTTGAAAGGATTTTATTTTTACATTTTGAGAGACATTTCCAAGGTTCAGAGTGGTACTCCTCTCGTATTTTATCTAGCTTTGCCAGAAAGTGCGTTTGCACATTTACAGAAACACTTAATCTTGCCATCAAAGACGTTTGAAATGTAAAATGACCTAAAACTTTTCAATCAGTGTTTCGCTAACTCTCTTTGAGTTTGTGTTGCTGAAGTACTTTTGTTCTTTTGATTTCTTGTATTATTTCCACCATGCCTTCTTTTGAAACAAAACAGTAGCCTTTTACACGTCGGGTGCCCGCTAGACGAGACGATTGCTGATCATTTGTCTGCTCATTATTTCCAAAACTGCAATAGCTGCTCACTCTTCTCCCTCCCGTCAACTCTGATTTAGTTAAAGTAGTTCAGGATCACTTTGCTTGTTGTCGTTAGACGCTGATGACCACAGCTAGAGCTGGCCGAGGGAGATAGATGATTGTTAAGTAGCTGAACAATCCCAGGGCCTCTCTACGCCACTTCCTGTTGTGTTCTCAGATGCTGTAGAGGAACACTTCAACTCCTTCTGGTTACCTACCTCAACAGTGTTCTTGGCCTTTTCCTCAGGTCCAAATGAAGAAAACTACAGAGTGTGAAAACAATGAAATAGTGGAGAAATAACCCAAACGTGCAGCTGTAACAACACTCAGCCAGACAAACGGAGGGAGAACTTTTCAGGACCTTTATGTCATGCACTATTGAAACGGTTCATACTTCACTTCTAGTGGTTGTAGATGTGTTTCATGTTTCTTCATATGAGTGTGTGACAACCTTTTCCTCTCCCTGGGAGTTTAATTAGGTCACAAATTGGTTTAATGATTTTCCTTCCTGGCTGAGCCTGACGTACAACCTCAAACATTTTAAATTCAAATTGTTTACAAAAGTGTCCAGAACTGGAGGCACGAAAAGGATCTCCTTTAAAAATGAGGACATTTAAACACCTTTATCTGAATTTTGCATTTACGGGCAAAGAAATGAAGGGAGAGTATTCTGCCTGGAGGATTGTCCATCCCAGCGGAGAGCTGTGAGTGTCTCCACGTTGTGTCATTCTCATGTGTCATGCAAACCAGCATTATTGTACTTGGATCATCTCTAAATTCATACGTTGGTGTTTCTTTTTCTGCTGATGTTCTTTTTGCGTGTATTTTTTTGTATTTAATTGTTGATATCACGTTGGAAGTGCTGAACAAATCTGGTCAAAAACCCAACACCAATGTCTCTAATGTTTATATTTATTAACTATGTGAGAGACGTGGTCTCCGAGGCTGCAGCAGCACTAATCAGTGTTTTGTTTTCTCCGTTGGACGTAGTTTCGTAGAGATACGAGTGGTGCGTTTTTCTTTTGTACTCGGTTCCGTCGTCGTAGTCGAAGTTTAATCTCTTGCAGGAAATTGCTGTCCCTGTGGACGTGACAGGTCTGAGTGCCGGACTATTTAACCGGATCCACAAGAAATGTGGTTCAGGGGTGGTCACGTTTGCGTGATTGAACTTTGACAAGTCGGGTTGTCATATTGCAGTATAATATAAAAACTTTGATTTAATAGGGTGCTCAAAGCTGTCCCCGCTTCCTGACTGGTGCTGTATCTCCATCAGAGGAACATACGGTACGTGTACTTATTGTAGTTTCTGTCTTCATAGTTTACAGTCTACTGAAGCGCTCTGTTGTCAAACACTACTTCCGTCAGATAGCTAAACTGTTACGCTCCTTGTTTGAGAATCCTGATCTTTGGTTCAGATTATTGCGTGCTCAGGGACTCGTTGATCCTTGATCTCTATGTATGTCAACAAAAAGGTCCTCGTGATCTTCATTTTCTCCTGTAAATTCTGCATTTTGCCCAGGTCAGACACATTTGCTGTAAGTGGTCGCAACCTCTGTAGGTCGTTTTAAGTAAACAAGAGACAAAATGGCAAAATAATGAGCATCTAAGCACCGCCGCTGTCTCCTGTTTGGCCATTTTGCAAGAATAAAAAGGAGCGCTGTCAGTAAATTGTTAATTTGCTTCCTCTGTGCACCCAAAGGGGTAGAAACACACTAGCAGTGGGTTAAATCTGCCTTCAAAAAAATGTCAACGTGATCATTTGGATTAAATAAAATAATTATTTATTGCTTTTCTCAATCTTGCAGGTTATTTGTTTAATTATATTCTGGTTAGATCAGAAAATCAGATGAGCTAGATTGAGCTTTAGAAGATTGTGAAAATGTATTGATCTTTCAGGGTTTTTATGGAGCGATCAGTCAGGTTGTTGTAGAAAAATGGACGGTAGATTAATCTGTGGTTGCCGCTGTAGTTCAGCCTCAGGTTCTCTTAGAGAAAGCGTGGAACGTTTATTTTACGGTGAACATGCTGCCAGTTTATGGCTCAAACACTTACCACGGCCTTCTCTCTTATGCATTTACTAAACACAGGTGAACAGATCACGTCAGGAGAACATAGAACCGTCTGGCTTGATTGGCGTGGTGCCGCATGGCAGATGAGTGATTCTGTAGATAACGGTGAGGATGTTCAGCAGACCAGAGATATTAAAGGATTTTTCCCTTTATCAAATGCTCACACTAGATGCAATCAGACCTTTCTGTAAGTACCCTTGACATTAATCAAACTGGTGCCAAATGACCATCCTGATACGATTGTGCGTTACTTTGAATTCCAGTGAAATAATTTCTCTTTTTATCTTTTTGGCATTCTTCTCCGAGAGCCCAATGACCACACATGTCAGATAATCTAGAGTTCCAGACTTCTTTTTCGTCAGATGGTGACCGTTTTTTTTTACGTTTGAGATCAGTATTATATTTTACCCTCTACTTTCTCAAAGACTGAATCCAGAGTATTTAAAGGTAGTAGGCAGAGGTAAATCTACAGTAGATCTGCATGGATAAAAAAACAAAACAACAAAAAAATAAATCTGACGTGTTATTTTTAGCTCAACTGAAAAGTGTTGGTTAATTCTTATTGGACTTGTGATGGTAACACTGTGATATTCCGCCAAATATTGGCAAAAATAATGTTGTGATCTCAGTATGGTACTATTGATGGTCCTGTCTCACATTGTCGGTCGATCTGTTATAATAGTGTGTATTGATGAAAATACGCTGAGTGACCTTTCAAGTTGACAAAGTCCGTCTTGCCCTCGTTGGCGCCCGATGATCACCTCATCCTCATCCTGTTCCCACCTGACATCTTGTCCACGCGATCGTCTCAGGGGGAGGTTGTGTCACTCTTTGTAAAAAAAACACACTGTGTCCATTTTCCTTCATGGCCCGCCTTTTGCTTGAGGAGAATGCCTGACTTTTATAGATTTTGCTGACATAAGATAAAACTTCTACGTTTCTCCGAGGAATCGCCACACCTATTCTGCAAAATCAGGGAAAATTCTTATTAGCTTCTGAGTTAAAACAATGAAATGTAATTTCTGCTCACAGAAACATGGCTCACAACACGTAAAAGTGTAGAGAAAAAAAACGGCTAAAACTGCTTATGCTTGACGGCATAATAAGAATATAAAAATCCCTTCAAGGGGAAAAATCATATCAATATGTTGACAGCATGTAGGCGTAAGGATATTTGACCCGCTCTCGCCCAGTGATGCCACCAGGAATTTTACTCTTGCACAGAATCAAAGAACTTATTGAGGAATTGGTAAAACTGCTAAATGAGTCATTTTATTTGCTGCAGGATTAAAACTTTATCTTGAAATGTAGGAAACTTCAAAACTCTGAGCCCTGAAGGACTTTATGATTAAAGTGGCAGTGTGTAGCTCCCTGGCACTAGGGGGCAGTATGTACATACATTTCAGGGTAGTTTTACACCATATTACCGTGACTGTCGCTGGTTTAAAAACACATTACAATAAAGCCCTTTTCAGATAGACATTCCGGAATATGTGTGGACAATTCAGTCTGGTTTTTAACCAGAACTGTGTTTTCAGACACACCACTTTTGTACCGGAACTTGTCCTTTCGGCTGCCTTCACACAGCAGGGAAAAGTTCCAGATGTCTGGGGGGGGGGGGGGGGGGGGGGGGATCAGACTTATGTTAAGCATAATTCTGCACACACGAAGACGCATAAGACCTGGATGATGGCGCTCAATGGTTAAAGGAATCACGGGAGCGGTGTGATGCAGTCCGTCGCGCGTCTAGACGGTACCGTAGGAGGCGAGCTGCCATGGTTCGCCGCATGCTACAGGAGTGAGCTATCTAGGAGTGCACAGCGTCCCCCGGTCCCCTCCTCCTCCCTGTTCGGAACTCAACCTCACCAGTCTGAAGCAGCCACCTTGTCCGTAACAAGTCCGGACCTGTTACTAGGGGCATCGTCCGGTTAAATTACAGAAAACGTTATCCGGATGTTTATTCAGACACAAAGGTCTTACGGACAGAGTCCGGAACATTTCCGTTTTTCTTGGCCTGTCTGAAGGGGGCTTAAGTGTTTTACCTGTGGAGCAGAAAGCACGCAACCTCAGCGTGACTCCTCAGACTTTGATGGTCCGTCAGTTAGTTCCATCGAGAGAATTCAATGCCAATCGTAGTTTCGTGGCGCTGTAGTTTCCGGATCTGCTCGTGGTCCTGCGCCTGTCGTACTACGGCAATACCGCTCGACCAAAATGCATTGCGTCTCTTTTTCGATTCTGTTCTTTCGCATAGGCTTTGGAAAGAGTTTAGCAGTTTTGTCATTAAATTCGTGTTTCTTACTACCTACATTTTTTCGCACGTGGTAGCGTCGTGAAGTCTCATATCCAGCCAATCATCTAGTGTGATGTCATCAGCAGGCGCAGGACCCAGAGCAGTCCAGAAAGAAACATGGCGTCTAATGTGGCATCCTCCAAAGACTTGCACCCTATGTGCTTCAGACCCAATTTTTATGGTTGTATGGTACGAAGCCACCGATATTTTTTAACAACTGGACACCATTTTATTCTTTTTTTTTTTTTTCCAACATTTTGGTGGAAATTTCCAGAGATTAAAAGTGAACACTACACACTGCCACTTTAAGAAAAATAAAAAATCTGGGAAATTTAGTGTCTAACTTTTCAAAACTCAACCTATTTGAAAAATCGACTTGCATTTTATAATAACCAAAAATATTTTATTGTTACGGATTATAATTTGGCTTATTTTTCATTTAGATCAATATTTTACCATTATTTACTCACAGAGACCGTGGGCAGCTGTATTCCTTGGTTGAAACAAATGTCTGCTAGTTTAGATGTGTCTGAAACTTCCTTTTCATCTATGCAGTTTTGTTTTTTTAAGTCCTGCAGGGTTTAAACATGGTGCCAAATTAGTAACGTGAAAAATCGTGCCGTGCAGTTCCTGTTGTGTAATCTGTTACCTTTGATTAGCTGATCAACTGTACTGAAGGAATAAAGGGAACACTCATTTTTTAATGAAGCTCATGGTCATACATAATCACGTTCGTCTGACTTTTGTTTTTGGTTTTGTTGGGATGTCCTGTTGTGTGTCTGTCTGGTGAGGTCACTGCCGGTATCTGCTTTCCTCCCGTGGTTTAATTCAGGTCAACATGAGATGTTTAAATGAGTGTTTTTTGAAAAGATTTTCAGGGATCACGACTGTTTGTGTCCCCAAAGTTACGTTTCTACTCTTTGTCTCGACCGGGGTGTCACAATTATAAATTATAAATCTATACATATCCACATATACTGTATGTACTGTATGTGTGTATGTATATGTGTATAAAGGAGACCATTTTTAGTGGTTTGTATTGTTTTAGGGTTCATTGTGCAACACTGATTGAAGAAAAAAGTAAACAATAACAATGATAATAAACTAGTTCTAGTAATGATAATCTGTCCAGTGTTTGGCTTTGTTGTGTGTGTGTGTGTGTGTGTGTGTGTGTGTGTGTGTGTGTGTGTGTGTGTGTGTGTGTGTGTGTGTGTGTGTGTGTGTGTGTGTGTGTGTGTGTGTGTGTGTGTGTGTGTGTGTGTGTGTGTGTGTGTGTGTTTGTGTGTGAGGTGGTAAAATCACAAATGTTTGCTTGCTTCCTGCCTTCCACAGAGATGCAGTGGATCAATGCAGTGCAGGTTTGTGGTCTTTCTCTCCTCTCCACCTTCCTGTTCTCTCCTGTTCAGCACATTGACTCATGGCCTCCTGGCCAGACAAAGCGCATCGAGCACAAGGCCCAGAGATCCTGGTCGATCAAGGTTGGTGCTGGACTTCTAATCACAGTAAATCCCAATGCATGACCGCACTTTGAGACAAACCCAGAGTCCAATATGGATCAACTGCCTCTTTATCTGTCTCTCTTGGGTAACACACCAAGGGATTGCTCCAGTTGTGCCAGATTTTTTGGGGGGCTTGCTTTGACTGCTGTTTCTTGTTTGAAGTGAATATTTTACCTCTATCGAATGCGGTAACACCACAATAGGAAAATCCATTTGGGGAATACAATAATCCTCAGCAGACAGCCGTTTGTAAAAGAAAAAGGCAACAATACGCTCGCATAAAATGACTTTCTGAGCATTTGGAGGAATTCTCATCAAAGCTTGGTTCTAATTTTGAGCCTGAAGGCTTGATTTAAGTTTTACCCTCCAGCTATGAGCACCAGCCTGAACCTTTTTATTTTTTATTTTTTTATTTTTGCGGTTTTCAGGTCCACAGGTTTGCTGTGCAACAAGAGCATTTATTTTTTTCCCATCACCTGATGTGTGCTCACTTTCAGCACACCTTCGGTTTTACCGCCTACGTCCGCGGTTTACATAATCAGGCCATTATATAAGCCACTGCCTTTTTTCCAGTTTTTTTGTCCTTAAAATAATCAGGCTGAGCGAGAGGTTCTTTGAAGATGTGGCCACACTCAGGGATCTCAGCGAATCAGTCGTGATGAATAGAGCCAATGGTCAAGGCTCAGAAAATTGTGTAATTCTTGAGTCGAGGCAGCTTTATTTATACACCCCGATGCTACAAATCACACTTAAAGGTGCTTTACAATCTTCACAGAACATGAAACCTGATACCAGGGCTCACTCCATTCAGATGACGAAAGACTTGTTTTTTTAAAGTAAATAAATAAATTCTCAAAAATAAAATGTAGCAAATATAAGAGAAGAGCAAGAAGGGAGACGTCTGACATCCCGTCACAGTAAAGGTGGAGTCACGTTTTCTGTAGTTGCTGTTCATGTGAGCGACCATGTTTATGTTTAATTGTGTTGACGTGTGAAAAACATGGAGTCTCCAGAAGCAGCTTCTCCTTCTCGTGCTCACACCGAAGCGAACGCACAGCAGCCCAGAGCAGCCATGCACCAGTGAAACTTTATCCCTGACTGGGTCGCCTCCACTGAGCCCCAGTTCCTCCTGACCCCACTGCGTTTAAAGAAAGACCGGTTCCCCCGAGCGAGCGCCGAGGGGTGCAGCTGTCTTTTGGCTCCTCGCTCTGACTGCTTTTACACCGCTCAGATGGAGCAGCCGAGGGAAAGGGGTGTCAAAGGTCACAGCAGCCATAAGCAGGAAGGCCCTCCTACCTCTGCTGTTCACAGTTTTCTTCTCCCTGCTTCTCCCTCATTCTTTTATTTATTTTTTTCACCGTTTCCAGATTTCCCAGCCGTAACACACTTCCCAGGTGACAACCCTCCACCGACGTCGCAAATAATCAGAACCATCTTGTCAGCTCCTGTTTCACCGTTTCCATATGTGTGGGAACTGGTTTGGGAGCCTCTGTCTCTAAATGACCTCCACTTTTACTCGCCAGTTGTAAAGTTATTTAACACTAACATCAAACTTCAGCTGCATCCTCTGCAACCAGAACAATTTCATGGGGTTAAATGTAAGAATCTGAAATAAAGAGCATGCTTTTTAAAGCTCACGCTGGGTGATGTTCTGTCACGTCAAAGTCTCACAGTTGAGCTGAAAGTGATAAAATCGTACTTGGGTCACGATGCTCGTTGTGAGATCTATTGGATACAAGACGGTACCGCTGCTCTAAAAGAGCATGTTTGACAAAGAAACCAGTCCAATATTATATAGAAATAAAGAACCAGCATTAGTAAGATATGTGTTTAGGTTTGGAATCTTAAAACAAAGGCGAGGAGAGGAAGAATAGCAGGTAGCTGTGGAGGCTCTTGGGGAAAATGACAAACTTTCCAGATGATTTTTGAATGGATGGAAGATTTATTCAAACCAATCATGTTTCTTCGGGATTTTATACTTTTAAAATCATCTATTTGTTTCAAGACTGACTTTCATGATCTTCATCTTAACGTTCTTGTCATCTCAGAGGTTTGTTGCTTCGGTTGGGATCATCGGATAACTGTAAAACAGAAAGGAAGAAAGTCCCTGCTGAGGTCGGTCAGATTATCTGGTGACCGAAGCGAAGCAGCAGATCATCTCATGATCCGCCTCGCATACTTGTGGTGATAGCATCTTCCACTTCGTACCACTAAGATGTAATGAGCGGCATTCTTATATAAACTTCCTGTCTGTGGCTGTCTTTGACACTGACATCAGGTGACATGAGGACCAAAGGACCATAACCTGCTGAGTGCCCTGATGCATCCAGGAGATCATCAGTAGGGCTGGTAGCTGAATGATTTCTCCTGTTGCATCAGCGCCTGGCGATGGCGGACTAAAACACTCCATTCCTATACAACCCATTAGGCAACCCGCTCTTGATGCATTTCCACTCGCTCGCAGACTGCAGGAACCCCCGCGGGTCAGCAACATCAGGACGCAGAAACACGAGGACTCTTCCCAGTAGTGACCACGGATCGCACGGCTCATCTAGCAGGTCGTCATGTGGGTTGATTGTCGGAGGATTTGCTGCTGATTTTAGACGGGAAAATCAGCGACTATGGACATTTGTGTCAGACTGTGAAGCAGAAAGTCCTGAACAGGAGCTTCACCGGAGAGCAGCAACCCCTCCATTGCAGTGAAGATCTTTTTAAAGTAATGCCTCTGTGTTGTTGGGTTGAATGACTCCGACGCATCAGCCTTGCAGATAATTGGTCGTCCAGAAATCTCAGTGCTGTTTCTCTTTATTCTTTGTGCCTTTTGTTCTG